AATCTTTTCAGGAAACATTTTTTTCACTCCCTTCTTGGGACATCCTTATCATTCGATTAACCATCAATAATAACTCTGCCATACCCCAGTCATAAGCATGCTTTCTGAGAACAAAACATTTTTATCAGTCTTTAGTGGTGGTGGTGGTCATGTGCCACTGAGCTGGTGCTGACTCATAGCGACTCTGTATAGGGTTTCCAAGGAGTGGTTGGTGGGTTTGAACTGCCAACCTTGCAGTTAGCAGTCCGGTGCTTATCCTACAGAGCCACACTACCAACGATTACTCTGCCATACCCCAGTTACAAGCATGCTTTCAGAGAACAAAACGTTTTTATCAGTCTTAAGTCAGTGTAGGAAGTGGGATGTAGATGAGAGGAGTTTGTATTCACACTTGCCAGTTGTACTGTCACGCCAGGGCCTCCGTCTGTGGGCCTTTTCACAGTGGCAGCGATGGTAGCTGTGTAGTCGAGTTGGTTCCGACTCACAGCGACCTGGCGTAGGGTTTCTGAGACTGTAAATCTTTGCAGGAGCGGAAAGCCTTATCTTTCTTCTGTGGAATGGTTAGTAGTTTTGAACTGTGGACCTTAAAGTTAGCAGCCCGACTTATAACCACTACTTTAATCATTGAGATTAAACAAAGTATATGATTTGTTGAATGTAAACCTGATGATCTTGTCTGTTAACCTTCACTCAATTTAATAAAAAGTTAAACAATGACTTGCATAAGGAGTCCTAGTGGTATAGTGGGTTAAGTATTGTGCTGCTGGCTGCAAGGTTGGTGGTTCAAACCCACCAGCTGCTCCGTGGGAGAAAGATGAGGCTGGCTGCTTCTGGGAGATGCAGTCTCAGGAACCCTCACGGTTTCTGCCCTACAGGGCCTCTATGAGTTGGAATCAACCTGATTGGCAAGTTTGGTTTTGGGTAGTAAAACTTGAATTCAGACCTGATGGGCTAAATAAAACTAGCTTTCCCTCTGTTATGAGAGGGGGCTTCTAAAAGTTTGAGGAAAATGTCAGTCTCTCTTAATTCCAGTTTTCTATGAATGTTTGGAAGTCCCCTCGTATATTCTGTTCTCTAGCCCAGGTCCAAATACAGTTTCTGTGAAAGGTAAAAGCGATCTTGGGCTTAGCTGTACTGGCTGCGGCTGGACAGAAACAGCTGAGGTGATGTGGATAAGAGTGCTGGCGAGCTGTACAGTTGGGTCTGACTCACAGAGACCCTGTATAGGGTTCCCCAGTCTGTACATCTTTAATGGAGCAGAAAGCTCCCAAGGAGCATCTAGTGGACTTGAACTGCTGACCTTGTACTTAGCAGCCCAACACATTACCCACTGCACCACTAGGGCTCCTTAAAAAGGGAGTTGTTATTGCTAAGTGCTGTCAGATGGATTCCGACTCACAGTGACCCTGTACAGGCTTTCCAAAGAGTAGCTGGTAGGTTGGAACCACCAACCTTATGGTTAGCAGTATAGTGCTTACCCTACTGTGCCACAGCAGAGTCCATATAGCCTCCCGGTCAACAAATCTAAGACTGCAGAATATTTACATTTTATTTTCCTTTTGATAAGGGAAATCCATTTTCCCAAGGAAATCACTTCATTTTGAATTTCCCATGGAAACAATAATACAAAAATTCTCCACACCACTCTAAAGCCGAAGGGCCTACATCTGTCTCTGCTTGTGCTTCGGGTTGGTTTTACAATAAATGTACCACCGACCTCGCCTCTTCACCTGGTAGCAGTCCTTACAGCGTTTCCTGATGACACCCTTGGTTTTGAAGCCCATGGCAGCCTGCAGCAGACACGGAGTGAGAGGGTTTGGAAGACACTGAACCACTGGGCTGGACCTCAGGAGACTGGTGCCCGTGGGAAGCGCCACCCTCTGGAGGGGTCCTAGCAGGAAAGTGGCCAGTCCTCGGGATTTCAGGGTGCAGCCACTCAGCTGGAGGAGCGGGTGCACAACAGAAACCGCCACCATCCTTAGCAAATGAGTTGTCATGTTGTGGCTAAACCTAAGGGGGAAAGACAAAAGGCTCCTAGAACACTGCAGGCTTCTGCCTACTGTTTCCAATGTGGTGTTTCCTACTTAGGAAGGGGAGGGCTGTGGCGTCACAGGCTGGTAATTTAGGTCCAAGCAGTCCCCTTTCGCTGCAGCAGTTTTTCCGGTGAAACTCAAAACCAACCATCATTCTACTCTAGCATAAGAATAAGAAAGAAGCCAGAAAGCTCTGTGCAATAGTTTCGGTTGCTTTTCCCTTTACAGAAGCGTAAATGAGTCTGCAAAACACTGATAGGTTTTGACTTTCAGGGACCCTACAGGGCAGCATGGAACAGCGCCCTCCGGGTTTCCGAGGCTGTAAATCTTTAAGGGCACAGACTGTCTCATCTTTCTCCCACAGAACGGCTTGTAGGTTCAAACCACTAGCAGCCCTGGCTTAACATGTAAAACATAAGGTTTATAAAACACATACTAGGCTGCTGGCAACCTTCAACGGGGGTCACATCCCTCATTTCAAAATAACTATACCAAGGCAACGGGGGTAAAGGACTAGTCCTTGTCCTGTTGAGAACAAGGATTCCCTTCCATCCACTTCTGAGAATGAACAGAACACGTGTTCATGTTAACACCACGTGACCGCAAGACATTTACTCTACTTTTAGGGAGCAATGGGCTCCTATGAGATCCCTGCACTCTACAAGGTCAGATCCCCAGCTTCTCCATGAACCCTGGCCCCATTTAGAGTTTATGAAAGGGCAGCAGGTGAGCAAAGCTGCGATGGCCTTGAAGATAAAGGTAAATTGATAACCAGCAGACCAGGAAAAACTAACGGGGGGCCCCCTTCCATACGCAGCATCGTCCGCTGAACCCCATTCCTGAGGCGGTCTCACTCACCCAACCCTCCAGGCCACAAATCCCCGCATCTCTTGCTTCCCCCGAGCAGCGGCCCACCCGGGGAAACTGAGGCCCAAGGGCACCTCCCATCGCCCCAGCATCCGACCACGCCCTCCTGCAGCCTCGGCCGGACGGACTGTTGGGAGGACACCCGGGACCGCACACCCCGCCGCTGCCGCCACCCCGACAAGCATTCCCAGTAGCTCCGGGAGCGCAACCAAGTCCCCTAACCTGAAAATCAAAGCACACGTCCTGGCCAACAGTGCGCACTCCTGCGTCTGCGTCGTCCCTGCGGGCAGCGGCACCGTCTGCGCCTGTGCAGTAGCGTGGACTACCGCCGCCGCCCGAAATCTCTGCCAGGAACAAAGATGGCAGTAAATCATGTGGCGCCCGCGCAGCCAATGATCCCAGGGTCAAAAGGCAGGCTCTCTAGATCTCTGCCCTCCCTAGGGGACCGCCTTAAATCCTAGGGTTCCTGCCTTGGGTCACCTCTCTTTGGAACGGGCACAGATATGGCCCGATAGTTGTCTTCCAAATTTCTTGGCAGAGATGAGTGAGTGCCTCCAGTGCTGCATGTTGGTTGAAAGATTTCAATTTGTATTCCATTAATTCCTGGTACCTTGTTCTTTGTCAAAGAACAATGCACCTTGGATTTCTTCCTTCAGTCACTGGCTCCTGATCATGTGTTACCTCTTGAACTAGTTGAAAGTTGACTATTTCTTTTTGATGCAGTGACTCTGTATTCCTTGCTTCTTTTGATCCTTTTTTCTATAGGGTTTCCAAGGAGTGATTGTTGGGTTTGAACCACCAACCTTGTGGTTCAAACCAACCTTATGGTCCAGTTCTTAGCCCATAACACACTAGGACTCCAGAGCGACTAGAAACCCCCTTCTTTACCTGTTCTAACTACCTAATTACAGAAGACCTTTCTTCCTGTGGAAACTTCCTCACCTGACTATTCTTAATTAGCAGAAGGCAAGACCCTTCCCTTGAAGGGCCGAGATGCAGCTGACACTTCCAGTAACACTCTGAGTCAGAATTGACTCGATGGCATTGAGTTTAGTTTTGAGTTTGAAGTTCAAGTCTGGCGATTTCAAGCTGCCCCAAGGCTCTGCTAAGAAAAGCCTGGTGAATTGCTTCCATAAAGACTGCAGCCAAGAAAACTGTCCCAAGACGTTGCCAAGAATGGTATCAACTGGACTGCAATCAGCTTGTGTTTATTTATTTGGCATTTACATGATGAACAAAATCAGTAGTTTCACTTGTGGCTTCATTAGAGCTCTGTTGCAAAAATCCTCAAAATATGGTCCCCCTTTCCCCATTTCACTCTAGACCGCTAAGCTTCACACAGAATTGTCTAAAACTCACATAATACCAAAAAAAGGAGTCTTGGTGTGGCACTGTGGACGGCCAGGTCAGTTTGAACTGCAAGGTCAGCGGTTCAAGCTCACCAGCTGCTCTTCAGAAACCTTATACAAGGTCGCTATGGGTCGAAACCGACTCAATGGCACTTAACAACAATACCAAAAAAGGAGTTCTGGTGTGGCAATGCAGGCTGATGCGTTGGATTGCAAAGTCGGTTTGAACCCCAAGGTTGGTGTTTCAAACTTAGCAGCCAGTCATGGGAAACTCTATACAGGGTCGCTATGAGTCGGAACCAAATCGACAGCATTTGACGATACCAAAAAAAATTATCTTTAGCTTCCATCCTATTTACAGTACCCAAGTAAGAATGGAGTCCTGGTGTGGCGCTGTGGGTTAAAGTTCCGGACTCCAAGGATGGTTTGAACCCAAGGTCGGCGGTTCAAGCTCACTATCTGCTCCTTGGAAACCCACAGGGGCGCTATGGGTCGGAACTGACTCTATGGCACTTAACAAGAAGTAAGAATCGCTCAGCGGCGATAACAGTAAAGCGTGCGTGCTCCTGCGTTCCTGGGTTGCATTTGCCCGCTTTGTGGCTCACTGTACAGACGCGAGCACCTGTCCGTCACGGACTAGCGCAGGGCTCCCTAGGGTGAAGTAAGTCCCCGGAGCGCTGGTCCCCCAACGTAGACTGTGCGCATGCGTTGGCGCCGCGGCGGGCGCCGGGTCAGGGGTCAGCTGCGCAAGATGGCGGCGGCTGTGACCTTCTGCCGGCTGTTGGGCCGGAGTCGGGTGGCTACGCTGAGCCTGCCTCAGGGCGCTAGATGTTTCGGGGTGCGGACTTCGCAGACGGGGGAGAAGATCACGCATACTGGCCAGGTAACCGCCGGGATGGAAGGCCGAAAGACGCATGTCCACCTAGCGTGTCCGATCCGGCCGAGCCCCGTCCGGCACTCCGGACTCGGCGGCCTGGACCCCGAGCCCCGGCGTGAGAAAGCCGCTCCCGACCCGGCCTGCGGAGATGTCCCTGGGGACCCTCCCGCCGGCCGTGCAGGCCTTGCCCTCGCCGCCCTTGACCCTGCTCGGGATGCTGGTCCTTGGGAGTCGGACGTGGTGCCGTCCGGAGGGGAGACTGTGTTTGAGGACGGAGCGCTCGCCCTTCTCAGTTACACACACTCAGTGGGCCAGCCAGTGGTCACGGAAGGGCCCACCTTCACACAGACGGGGTGCAGCTACTGGGTTTTTATCCTCATGAGTCTAAAAGCTCGCCTGTGGCTGACGGGAGCCCCGTGGCACCGTAGTTAAGCGCTGGACCCCACCAGCCCTTGGAGAAGGCAGTGGCTGTGGACTTCCATAAAGAGGGTTTGTGGTTCCAACGCCTGGGGTCCCGGTGAACAACAGAAGGAAGCCCTGCTTGGTTCTGCACCATCCTCAGGATCAAGGCTACAGCTGGTCCATTGTGGCAGCCGTGTGTCAGTCCATCTCAGGGAGGGAGGGGGAGGGCTTCATCGTCACTGACCCTCGCCTTTACCACCAGGGACAGGTCCCGCCTGATAACACACCAAAATGCAAGAGACGTCTTACCATCCTTCTAAGGAACATTCTGGCTATACGTCTTCCAAGACACATTCGTTCATTCTTTTTAAGTTTTTTAAACTGTGATTTGAATGTAAGTTTATAGGGCAGATCATCAATTTTATATTCAACAGGTCATGTACTTTGTTTCAACACAGTGATTATAATCTCCTTGTACCATCACTTAACAGTATTTCTCTCTATTCACTTTAGATCTTTTTTCTTTTTTCTTTTTTAAAACACTTAGGCATATATAATAATTTACACCACCAAAGGGCACATTCTGCAAATCTGCGTCCTGCTCGCTAGCTCTCAGCCCCTCTCTTTCCATGAGCTGCTCCCTCTCTCCATGTCCCCATCTCTGCCTCCATCTCTGGTGTCCCGGCATCTCTGGATAGCGTCCCGCATTCCACTTATGCTCTTCTCCCTTGATGGTCCAAGGGCCCTCTGTTTCTGGACTGTAAGATTAACTACTCCCCCGTTTTTGTTACAAAACGTCAACTTTACAATTGTGACAGTCACAATCAGTCATGATAACAATTACTTACTATTGAATCATAAGAATCTTATCCCCATCTCTTTTCACCAGACCCATCTAGACAAGATGAAAACTATTCAGTAGGGACTCCCCCTCCCCCCACTCTAAAACTAAACCCCCTCTTGAAACCTTGTAAGCCAGTCACTCGGTGCCTTTATTGCCCCCTCATTTTAGGTAGCCATTTGTTCATTCTTAAGGTGGTAGTGATGGGCCATGGAGTCCATTCCAACTCCTAGGGACACTGTAAAGGGTTTCTTCCCAGGCTGTAGGTCTTGACAGAAGCAGAAAGCTGCATTTATCTCCCAGTCTCCCAGGAGCATTTGGTTTACTTAAAACTGCTGATCTTGACATTAGAAGCCCACTTTGTTACCAGGTAGTGTTGAATAGCAAAGATGTCAGCTTGAGGACTGAGGTGTGCCTGACCCAAGCCATGGTATTTTCAATAACCTCATATGCATGCGAAAGCTGGACAGTGAAAGAGGAAGACCACAGAAGAATTCATGCTTTTGAGTTATGGTGTTGGAGGAGAATATTGAAAGTGCCATGGGCTGCCAAAAGAACCAACAGATCTGTGTTGGAAGAAGTGCAGTCAGAGTGCTCCTTTGAGGCCAAGATGGCCAAACTTTGTCTCTCA